GGGGTCGTAGTGGTCAGGGCCGGGGGGGGGAGGGGCTGGGAGCCCGGATGCCTGGCTCCGGGCTGTGGCTCTGTGCCCGTGCCCACCCTTGCCCCCCCGGCAGATGGTGCCCACGGAGCTGGTGGAGAAGGAGTTCTGGCGTCTGGTGAACAGCATCGAGGAGGACGTGACGGTGGAGTACGGCGCCGACATCCACTCCAAGGAGTTCGGCAGCGGCTTCCCCATCAGCGACAGCAAGCGGAGGCTGTGCCCCGAGGAGGAGGTGGGGACCCCCAGCCAGCCCCTAACCCGCCTTTCCCACCCTCAGAGCCCTGCAGGCCCTGCCCCATTCCCTGACCCTCAGCCAGCTGCCGTCCCCTAGAGGGGCCTGTGCCCCATTCCCTGCCCCCCTGAACTGCCCTGGGGCCAGATGAGAGCCGATGCTCCCTAGAGGGGACAGATGCCATGCCCCCTTCCCCATCCCCTCAGCCAGCCAGCGCCCCCTAGAGGGGCCAGGCCCTGTGTCCCATTTCCCACCCCCTGAGTCAGCCGGCGCCCCCTAGAGGGGACAGATCCCCTAGTGGCAGTGGGGAGTTCTGACTCCCCCTCTCCCGGCAGGAGTACGCGGCCAGTGGCTGGAACCTGAACGTGATGCCGGTCCTGCAGCAGTCGGTTCTGTGCCACATCAACGCCGACATCTCAGGCATGAAGGTGCCCTGGCTCTACGTGGGCATGGTCTTCTCCGCCTTCTGCTGGCACATCGAGGACCACTGGAGCTACTCCATCAACTACCTCCACTGGTGGGGCCCTTGGCTGGGGCGGGGGGCGGAGAATGGGGGGAGCGGAATTGGGGGTAACTTGCGGGTTGGCGGCTCCCCCCTGACCCCAAGGCACTGTCCCCAGGGGCGAGCCCAAGACGTGGTATGGAGTGGGATGTGGGGTTGGCGGCTGCCCCCCTAACTCCGTGCTCTCCCGGGAGGGGGATGTGGGGTTTGCGGCTCCCCCCTGACCCCGCGCTCTCCCCAGGGGCGAGCCCAAGACGTGGTACGGGGTGCCGTCGTTCGCGGCCGAGCACCTGGAGGACGTGATGAAGAAGCTCACCCCGGAGCTGTTCGAGAGCCAGCCGGACCTGCTGCACCAGCTCGTCACCCTCATGAACCCCAACACCCTCATGGCCCACGGTGTGCCGGTGAGTGCCCCGCCCCCTGCGCTGCCCTGGCCCCGCCCCCCATGTTGCACCAGCTCGTCACCCTCATGAACCCCAACACCCTCATGGCCCACGGTGTGCCGGTGAGTGCCCCGCCCCCTGCGCTGCCCCGGCCCCGCCCCCCATGTTGCACCAGCTCGTCACCCTCATGAACCCCAACACCCTCATGCCCCACGGCATGCCGGTGAATGCCCCGCCTCCTGCGCTGCCCCGGCCCCGCCCCTTTTGCCACCCACTTGCTGCCCTGGCCACTTCCGCTTCCCTCCTGCGGCCAGGCCCCCACTGCCTGCCTGCGCCTTGGCACCCCCCACTGTGAGCCGGGCCCCCGCTGTGTTCCTGCTTTAGCCATGCCCAGCCTCGCCCCTCAGCGCCGCTCCCCTCACCTTGCTCCCAACCCGCCCTTCCCACTCACTGCCCCCTCCCGGCCCCACAGGTCGTCCGGACCAATCAGTGTGCGGGAGAGTTTGTCATCACCTTCCCCCGGGCCTATCACAGCGGCTTCAACCAGGGCTACAACTTCGCTGAAGCTGTGAACTTCTGCACTGCTGACTGGGTGAGTGCGCCCGGACGCCTGGGTTCTCTCCCAGCTCTGGGAGGGGAGTGGGGTCTAGTGGTTAGAGGGGGGGGGTTGGGAGCCTGGACGCCTGGGTTCCGATGATGACGAGCTCAGACTCCTGGGTCCCTCCCTACTTCTGCAGCTGCCAGCCGGGCGCCAGTGCATCGAGCATTACCGCCGCCTGCGCCGCTACTGCGTCTTCTCGCACGAGGAGCTGATCTGCAAGATGGCCGCCTGCCCCGAGAAGCTCGACCTCAACCTGGCGGCCGCCGTGCACAAGGAGATGTTCATCCTGGTGCAGGAGGAGCGCAAGCTGCGCAAGGCCCTGCTGGACAAGGTGGGGGGCGTGGGGGCAGGGCTGGGGGGCGTGGGGGCAGGGCTGGGGGGGTGCAGGATCCGTGCTTATCCCTCTCCCCGCCCAGGGGGTGACGGAGGCAGAGCGCGAGGCCTTCGAGCTGCTCCCCGACGATGAGCGCCAGTGCGACAAGTGCAAGACGACGTGTTTCCTCTCGGCGCTGGCCTGTTACGATTGCCCCGCCCGCCTGGTCTGCCTCTACCACATCCACGACCTCTGCAAGTGCCCCAGCAGCCGCCAGTACCTCAGGTGGGCCACGGGGGACCCAGGAGTCCGGGATCCCAGCCCCCAGATGGCCACGGGACCCAGGAGTCCGGGATCCCAGCCCCCAGATGGCCACGGGACTCGGGAATCCGGGATCCCAGCCCCGGGCCCTCCTCCGGCCGGTCATGAGACCTAGGCCCTCCCCCAGCTGCCACGGGACCCAGGAGTCCGGGATCCCAGCCCCGGACCTTCCTCGGGCCGGTCATGAGACCTAGGCCCTCCCCCAGCTGCCACGGGACCCAGGAGTCCAGGATCCCAGACCCAGGTCCTCCTCCAGCCGGCCACGGGACTGAGGAGTCTGGGATCCTAGCCCCAACCCTTGCTGCAGTTGGCCACGGGACCCAGGAGTCCGGGATCCCAGCCCCAGGACCTCCCCCAGGTGCCATGGGACCCAGGAGTCCGGGCCCAAGCGGTACTTGGGGCTCCCCGCACGGCCCGGCTGACCCTGTGCCCGCAGGTACCGCTACACGCTGGACGAGCTCCCGGCCATGCTGCACAAGCTGAAGGTTCGGGCCGAGTCCTTCGACACCTGGGCCAACAAGGTCCGAATCGCCCTGGAGGTGGAGGATGGGCGCAAGAGGAGTAAGCACCTGCCGGACGCCTGGGTTCCCTGTGGGGGGAAAGAGTGGGGTCTGAACCCACCCACGGGCCCCTTTTTCCCCCCCACCTGAGTGCCGGCTTGTGCCCCACTCCCAGCCCTTCCCCACCTCCCTGAGCTGGGGAGAGAACCCAGGAGTCCTGGCTGCCAGCCCCTCCTGCTCTAACCAGCAGCCCCCACTCCCCTCCCCAAGCTGGGACGAGAACCCAGGAGTCCTGGCTGCCAGCCCCCCTGCTCTAACACCAGCCCCCACTCCCCTCCCCAAGCTGGGACGAGAACCCAGGAGTCCTGGCTGCCAGCCCCCCCTGCTCTAACCACCAGCCCCCACTCCCCTCCCCAAGCTGGGACGAGA